GACCGTAAACTTCGCCGTAAACCCTAAACTCCTAAACCCTAACCCCTGAACCCTAACCCCAAAACTGCTAAGTAGGAGGGAAAAACGCCCTACCCTAAACCCCTAAACCTAATCCCTCTACACTTACTTCCTTGGGTGTCTCTGGAGCCGATGGACTGAGGCAGCAGGTCGGCGCCGGCCGCGGCAGCTACGAAGTGGCCCGGGTCCCGGGTGCTGTGGAGACGTAGGGTTTAGGTTTTAAGGGTGAGGGGTTTATATAGGGGGTACGAAGACTGAGACGGGAAGTGATCGGTGTAGGGACTTCGGGCGAAGATAGGCGTGATCCAGTTATACGTTCTACGAACCAGGGTGTATGTTTTTCGGGGCTTGTATAGGGGTTGCATCTGAAGCTTTCCAAGTAGGGTTGTAGTGGTTTTATACGATGTTTGACTAGAGTCGGATTTATATTCGAGTTTTGGTGACTGCACGTAGGACTCCTTGGAAGCATCGGTGAGTATGTATGCGGGCCGCTTTATCGGAAGTATCTATTTCTCCAGGTGCGCACCTGTGTGTCTGCGTGCGAAACCCAAACCCTAAAGCACAAGACGCAGATTAGATCTCACTTGTGTTTGCTTAGTGCCCACCGACCCGCATCTTCGGGTTTGCTTCCTGACACCTTCGCAGGTGGAAGTACGCCTCAAAGGGTCAATGCTACTGATACTGGGCCAAGATAGTCGGTAGGAATCTTGCTAAACTCTTTCGCTGTCATTCAAACTTTCTAGGACGTAGGAGCCATAAGCCCGACGTCAATTGCCTAAAGCCTGAACACCCCTAGAGTCTAGCAGGTTTCAACCTGAGAGCCTGTACGATAACACCACAACACACACACACACATCTCCAAGTGGTGAAGGCGTGATTCCTCAACATCCAATCCCAAACCGAAACATCCAATAGCCTGATATGCAAGATCAAAGCCTTCATCTCGAACATGCTCATTCAGCCCTGCAAGCTCACTCCAGGATTTCACTTCAGGCATTGAATCAAGAAGCCCGAAACCTTGTAAATGTTAAAGTAATAGATATTAGGTCTGAGAGCTCCCATTCTCAGACTCAGGTTGAGACCCTGGTCTACGTGGGCGAGGGCAAAGGCAACTACAACAAGGATGATGTGGAGCAGGCAGACTGCGTAGCGTCTAAGGGGAAAGAGTCCTCTTGTTGGAGTTGGCAACTCGTCGTTCTGGCAGGACTGTTGAAAATGTGCCCAGCTCGTCAGATGACAAGCACGTGCCATTGCCAATGCAACGCTGTCACGTCTCTTTTGCTTGACTTTGCCATTGTTAATGCTGGACTTTTGGCGCTGTCGCATGGAATAGTTTCGGCCGTGCTTGAGTGCAGGTGAAACGGCCGCCAACTAAAATCAGTTGGCAGCGCAGGCTGTGAACTCAGAGAGATCTCCGCTTTCGTCAGGTCTGCACGTCTCGAAGGCACTAACCCTACATGCAGGACTTTCTGACACGGTTTAATACAACTTTAGGGGTCCTCATTCAGGTTTCATATGCTGAGGGTATTTGCAGAAAAGCACGCAAAGCCTGTATAGAGCACGAATCAAAGGGATCCTAATTTAAGGTTTTTTGAATGGCGTGTCCCTGCCTGCCATGTTTTGGAAGCCCCGATCTCGCGACGGTCAGGTGAAGAGTGAGCAGCCGACGTGGCCAAGTCACTGTTGTGAAGCGGCCATGTAATGTTCGGGGGCCATGTAATGTAAAGTAACTTAATGATGATCGCAAGGAGTTGTACCGTTCTACATGACTTCTGTGTCGTTCTGTTGGGGAGTTTGGCGTCTAGCACACAGTGACACAAAAACGAAAGCCAAGTGCGCGGCCCATCCGAGAGCTGCAGGTACCATACGGATCGGAATAACTAGTGAGACTATCCCTTCATGTGCTCCTCAATATATTTTTTGTATGACATACACTTATACTTCTTGGTCAAAGTATGGTACACCCTACCCGGCCCTATCCTGTTCGAGTCACTGGGACTCCTTTCTTGCCGCCCTAAGCTTCCAAGGCTCTACATGGGCATCCTTTGTACTTTCCTTGCAGCGGGGTTCATCTCGCTGGTCGTCCGCACCTCAGGAGTTTTTCAGGCTTTGAACGCAGGGGGTTTCGGGTTTTTGGCTTTTTTTAGGATGGTCCACGGGGGGATATAGGGGCGCTTGATCACAGCGAATACGACGAGAAATGTTCAAATTCATACGACCACGAATACCAATGCTAATATGCATTGCTACTACTAGTACTACCACCACTATCACTACCGCTACCACTACCACTAC